AATATAATGCGCGATAAAGCGCGGCGAATATGCGACTTCTTATTTCCGATAAGAAAAATATCATTCAATCGCGATTATCTCCTCAAGAGAAGATGTATCCTTCGATAAGAAAGATCAAGAGGAAATTGCGAGGACCGACGTGAAATTGACTAGCTTCGAGGGCATCTCATTTTCGCCTCGCGCCATTCTCTCGCGCGCTGACTAGAAACTTCGTCTCGGATGAGACAGCTTGATTGGATTCGCTTCCTGAACGAGACGAGTGTGGTTGAGGGGAAATAACGGACGCACAAGAGCCTCGGAGCCTGTCCTGCCATTTAAATAAAGCTCCACGCGGTAGAAAAACCGCGGCGCGCGTATTGTGTGTTGTGTGTGTTTTCCACCAACTCCTGGTTGGAAAAATTTCAAGACTTTATACAAATGTTCTCACATCGCCGCGGTTTCATGTTTCGGAAGCGTAGCGCGCTGAGTAGTACACACGCCATACTTTCTGTCCCTTTAGTCTGGCGCGCTTGTTAGCTGCGCGTAGCAGTAGGAATAAACTAGTTCTATTACGACCGAGTGTATTATTCAGTATAATGGTCATAATATGCACAGTAGCATTTTTCTGCATTTTCCTGTGTAAAAATTCTTTTATGAAAAGATTGATGCTCCGTGCATATATACAGTGTTATACATACAGTGTGTTGTACTTTTTTTTTGTATTATTTATGATAAAAATCTCTACGGTGAATTTGTCTAATAAAAGTAAATCGTCCTAGCTAATATATATATATATATATATATATACCTACTACGTGTGAATATCTACATTTCGTACACAAACAAATGTCATATAAGTGTGTGCATATATTTTGCGACATAATTTGCGTTACACAAATAATAAATGTTGCATCATGGTGAAACAAACAAAGTTCTCGCATTTATATTTCGTTCGTGTAAAACGAAGAAACGGAGCAGAGAAAACGCGAAGGAGATGTGGCAAAAAGATACACGGTTACTCTTGCTTTGGAAAATCCGCCGCAAGATCGATCATGTCAGCTCCGTCAATTGGCCTCTCTCAATCGAGATAAAACTTAAGAGACAGCTGCAGTCGCTCGCAGTAAACATAAATGCATCGCAGACACGAGGTGCTCCATTAGAAGAAGTGCCATCGCTTGTAGAACCGATACGACGAAGACGACGTTGTGCTCCGGGATTATTCTGTGATTCGCTCGATCCTCCCTCCTCCCCCCNCCCCCCCCCCCGAAGCCGTTTCTGCGCTCCGGGGATTCGAGCAACATTGGAAATTGTCACTTTATTCAGGAAGGAGGATCTTACGCTACGAGGGAAGGCTAGTGTGTCCGACTGTCTTTCAGCTCTCTGCTCGCCTTCTATGCCATACAATTGTCTCGAACGAGGAACGAATGACGAGAGAGAGAGAGATAGAGAGAAAAAGAGAGAGAGCTCGTGGAACAAGTGCTCGGTTGAAGGGCTGCTTCGAAGGAGCACAGACGTTAGTGGATGAAGCGAGCGACGGTGGGAACGTAACGACTGCATTCAACTCGAGTGCTCGCAATGGCTCGCATTTTGCAATGACTTAACGAAACTTATATTGATATTTGAATGCCGAAACGTGTCGGACGGCATTTCGCAAATTGATCCTTGAGAAGTGCCACGCACCGAGCGTCGTCGTCGCGGAACGTAACGTAAAAGCTTATGTCTCGATCGTTTCAATCGGCGACGATCGACGACGACAATGACGACGCGACGTCGTCGCGGCCGATGTGTGTGAAGACACGTGTGCGCTCTTGAGTATAATCGCGCAAACTTTTACTTGCGTCCCGTAAATCTGATCTATCTCGCAATAATTTAGATAAGACTGTTTTTTTTTTAACAATGAAACTATTTTTCTTTTTTTGCCTCACGTATTTCACGTGTTTCGTGTCGTCCGTTATTATAGTTACATCATTTTGAATAATTACGTCACGAAATCTTAATGATGCGTCTTCCAACTTAAAGCGATTATTAGATGAATAAGCGCGACAATGCTGTGCGATTAGAGAAACTTACGTGCGCATAATGAAATGTAATTTCTTTTGTCTTGCATACTGTCTTGCAAGGTTAATATATATAGGATAAAAGTAATTTAAAAAAAGCGCGTAAACAATGAGTTTCGTCTTTGAATAAAAGTTAACGCAGTTTTAAATATAGCGCATCTATAAAACTATTATACGTACATATGAGCTGTCTGAGCCAATAATAAAAATAATACGTTTTACACGTTATTGACTCGTCACATTTTGTTACAGTTTAAATAAATTTAACATTTATTACCGATGTGTGAATTTTCGAGTTAGCTCTGTTGCATAAAACAAATTCGCAAGTAAACATTTTTATTGCAAGTCTTTAACTTGTTATCACTTAGAAGTCGGATCTATTCTTAATCTGTTTTTAAACAAAATGTTAATCTCAATATTTGCCAAAGCATTAGCTTGTTGACTAGATTATTGAGCGTTTTACTAAAACTGCAAATATGTTCATCACGTGGAAGAAGAGTTTTTGCATTTATTTTTTTTTACATTTACTTTGCAACTGCGTAAAACGCTACTACAAGACTATGAAATATAAATTAACAGTTGCAAGCGTTTGATTTGTCTCGTATATCTCATGAATTTGTCCTTCATTGTCATCAAAAGCAATTCTTATTCATTCACATACATACAATGTCACCGTCACGTTGATGGAATAATGTAAAGCAGATCTACATGAGGAATGAGGAAGTTACGCGCGAGAGTGGTTGTTCTATTTGTTATGTTGTTATGTAACATTTATATGCCTCTTATAAATATAGCGAATCCAACGTCACTGCTCGTTGAACATTTACCTACGTCAAATATTTATTATCTCGTTTTCTTTCACATTTCTGAGTATTTCCCGAGTATTTTCTTGTTTCGAATTTGTTTACTTTTCGCGCGTTATTTTTTATTTCTATTTTATTTATCATTTTTGTCTATGACAAAACTTGGCGAACTTTGCGTTGCAGCAAAGGCCAAACTTTAAACTGCAAATGCATCGTAACTTGATATGGCTTTAATGTAGCTTTAACATATATTTAATCAATAATATACGCGACGTAAAAAATATTTAAAAAATCGAGTCTTGTTAATGTAGAAATTCGGACACTTATCGGTAACTCGTAGTTTATTAGAAAAGTTCGAGATCAGACTCGGTAATGAAAACGCTTGCGAGCGCGTTACAGCAGCATCTAATTTTCAGACGCGCCTAAAATTCCTGTCATTTTCCCGCGTTATATTGCATAAACGCGCGGTGCAATATTGCACGCAATTAGAATTTCGGACAGCTATGCTGACCGACGTGTTTTGTGCGGCGCGATTGATCGCTGAATAATGTAATTGAAAACTAGACCATACCCCAATACCCATTCCGTTTAATCGACTCCTATATATATATATATATATATATATATATATATATATATGTTTAAATAAATTGCACAAACTGTGAATGTAAAGCGCGCCGATACTTCAGAGTTGCATACACGAGCGTGCAATATTAGCGGCTGATAACGATTCGATCGAACACAGCGATACTTATTGGCTTTCCGCGCGAGTATTAATTAAGCCATTAAAAATTTATTGCTGCGCGATTCGTGTACCTTATCTCGACCGTGCGAATTTTTATCTCAGATTTTAGCACATCTCACATGGTCTCCCAACGCGATCTGCGTCTCGATCGAAGACGCGTTTCTGTTTAGATTGGCCAGAACAAGCCACAAGGTATGTACAGCGTATATCGAGTGGGTTATTTCACTGTATTAGCATCTGGTTTCCTCCAGAAGCAACACACGCTATCGATCGACTCGCTGCAAATATGTGCATCAAGAATTTTGCCCGGCTGTGTACCTTCTCTTAGAAATGCTCCGAAAAAAAATAACATTTTAAACAACTGTTAACAAAATATCGCTAAAATTTATCGCCAAAGTAAAGATACAATTTTTGATCAAACGTGTTAAAGACACTTTTGACGCAATTTTGCGTAATCTAAACGATAATTAGTAACTTACTGTAAAAATAAAATATGACAAACAACATGTGTGATTATTACGAACGAAACGTCATATTTGTCAAAATTGCAATAAATTATGTCATAATAAATATTAAAAATATCGAGTTATGCAATAATTTCTTTGCTTATGCGTATCTTTGTCGAAGTTAAGTGCCTCATCATGGCCATAATGATATGTCGTTTTTATTATAGACTAACGTCAGACAATTGTGTAATGTGTCCTGAGCAAAGGTAACGATACAAAAAACAATGATTAGATGTTGTAATCTCACTCAATGTATATCGTATCTCGTGAATAGGAAAACTAATCAGAAAAAAAGCGGTGTTGCGTAAACTATTTGAGACGATATAAAGATAAGATAAAGTACAATTTGCTTGTCATTTTCAAATTGCAAACAATTAAATGACTTTAAATTGAGACTGTTTCGATTTCCTTTCCGCACGTTTCTGAACATTTACCGTCTCTCACATATTTTACATCACATGTTCCCACCGTTCGGAAAAATTACATAAGCTCGAATTGATGGTGTTACGAGCACTTAATGAATTAATTGACTTTCAGAACTTTGTTCTTAATAACTTATAAGATTGCTCTTGCAACGTCTTTTCTGGAATTTTTGTCACATACCGTATACATTAATTATATTTGTAATTGCATTTATTACACAGAATTAGATTTATTTTCTGTGTTATATTAAATTTAAATATTTTGGTATGTAATTATTTTTAGTTTTCATATTTGAAGGTTGTTTGACAGAAAAACTCTCGTTTTAAAACTGATGATCCAATGACCTTATCACCGACGTTATTATCTTATCAATACTTTGCACCGAGACAATCAAGTTTGAATTCACGAGTTAGACAGCGTCTGAGTAAATTATTGCTAGTCAGTGTTTGCGTGGCGACCGTGCGCTAACTACAGTCAATAGATCTATGACCTTGCAACTTTCTGTAATAGTATATAGAGAATACACCCATGTAGATATAAAGGCTGTCGCTGTGGTTCTGCGTGTTTCATTTCCTTGTTTGACATCGCGCGCGAAGTGCCGGTGAGCATCCGAGTGTGGTAAATCAAGCAAAGATAGAACACAGTACACTTTGCAGGTCAGTGGAACGATCGTTGTAAAAGCTCTACTTTTTTTTTTTTTGTATCAACATCTTTTGACAACAATCGCTAATAAATTATAGGACGGGTCGGAATGCAAAGTCGCATCAAAAACAAATTATGAAAAAAAAAAAAAAAAACGTAAATTAGAAAAATCTACTCGCTGTGCTGTCCAATTTTGAAAAAGTGCGTGTAAATATGCTATGTTTTTTCTAAAAGCTTTTTCGCACAAAAGCTCTTTGATCACGCGACCAACGTGATAATAGCAAACTACGGTGCAAACAAGGAAGAATATTCTCCTGTGTAGTGGGCGAGATGTAAGCCCAATTAATCCCCCGGCAGGTCTCCTCTAAAATAATTACTTAAATTAAATCTCGTGTCGCGAACAAATCTTCTCTACTTGTGTTTTCAATAAATTACTTAATCACGTAAATAATGTTGTTTAATAATGTTATATGAGTCGGCTATCATTGAGGAACGCTTTCTCTCTCTCTCTCTTATGTAAGTTTAGTTATCGACCATTCTTAACGCCAGACGGATTTGACACCGAGGAAACCGCGGAAAACATTTCTGAGAAAACTCATCAGAGTGAAATATGGCTGACGTCGTTCGACCACAAGTACGTACGCGATCGCGGCACGCCAGACGCGTCGTAAATTTCTCGCAAATACCGCAACTCGATCACGTTCGACGGGATCTCGACGCCGCCGTACGTACGTATGCCGCTGACCAAAAAGGAAAAGAGCGCAGAGCGGCGTCCCATTACGCTCTTAATTGAAACAGCGATCTCTCTTTCTCTCTCTTTCTCTCTCTCGCTTTCTTTCTCTTTCTCTCGAACGTAGGGGAATGCCCGCGTCTTGAATATCGACGTGCGCGAGAAAAGAAACGATGGTTAAAGTGAGCGAAAAAAAAAACAAAAATAAAAAAAACGCAACGAGAAGAAAGAGAGGACGGCTAAGACGCGGGTGGAGTGGCCGGAATGAGGAAGGGAGTTGGCCAGAAAGAAAGAAAACGTGATAAATCTCGTCGCGAACAATAAGTTATCGTAAAGAATCGTTTTCGCGTTTCGTGACACGGCCGGAGGAACAATGATTTGTCGGGGAAATTCTCCAATTCCAATTCCAATTTCAGAAATGGCCCTAGAGACACCGACATGGATGAATCTATGCTTCGTTGAGAAGATCCTGCGAAAATCGGAGGGCGACAATTCGATCCAGGTGACCGATGTATTCACGAAACCGGCCACGAATAAAGGCGACAACTACACCAGCGATATGTTCAGGGTTAATATCGAATTCACGCACGGCCAGGATGAAAACAAGATCACGGACAAGAAATCGATCATCATCAAGGTCGCGCCTATAGCCGAGGGCGTGCGTCAGGATCTTGTAAGTTTATTTTTACGCAGAGAAGCAAATACATTAAAATTTTCTCATAAAAATAAAACAATTTGTGTCAACCAACACATTGCAAATAATTTGTTTACTTTTGCCACTTCCCAAACAAATCTCTAGATTGAGAAAGCGGATTTATTTGGCGTAGAGATACTGATGATGACGGATACGTTGAAAAAGATGAATAAGTTACTAGAACCCAAGTACCGCGTGAGCGGGAAGTGTTTGTACGTGCAAAAGAATCCAACGCTTTTAGTAATCGAAGATCTCGCAGTTCTCGGCTTTCGTATGGCTTGTCGTCAGTCCGGACTTGACTTAGATCACTGCGTTCTTGCGCTTCGCGGACTGGCGAGGTTTCACGCGGCCTCGGTAGCCATATGCGAGAAGGTAAATTACGTGGCTTCGTTAATGTTATGTTCCGACAAAAAGCAATTTCTTTTTTTTTTCGGAGAATTTACATCTCATTGCCGGTGACACTCTCGTGTCAACGCGTTATGTTATTTATCAAGATATCTAAACAACCGTTTACTGTTTAGGAACCAAATCACAAAAATATATATACGAAGGGAATGTTTAGCGCTGATTATCCCACAAATTTTAGATCATTTTTCATTCAGAGTACTCATATTTTAGCGAAAGAAGCGGAGAATTGGCCGGAAGTAAAAAGGTGAGATCAATACATGCGCAAACAATAATCGTTTAAAAATATTCAATAAGTCTAAACGTAACATAACGTTCGAAGAACGCAAAAAAATCCAACTAACACAAAATTTGTACAAATTTATATAATTAACAAATATAAAATTTTTGAAGTTAATTATAATTCACGTATCTTTACAATTTTCGTTACTAGATACGTAGGAAAATTATCCAATCTCGCTGATCGCATATATCAAATAGGAATAGACATGTGCAAGGTATCGGAAGATGAATTCAACGTCATCACTCACGGTGATTTCTGGGTAAACAATATGTTGTTCAAATACAACAATGAAGGCAAACCCATTGAACACATTATGGTAAGAGTAATACGGCTAAATACAAAATTTTGTTGATATACGTGTATCAATTGATATAATATTTTATATTTGACAAATATTTAACATAAACAATAATTTATAAAAATTCCTGCGTCTATACAGGTTCTAAAATTGAAATTTTGCATAATTCAAAACAAGACAATACAGTGCACGACTGATCTGTCACTGATAACAATATTTAGTAATTTATTGACTGAATTATCAACCAAAAGAGATTTTCTATTTAAATTATATTTTCAATTTTAAAAGCTTGGTTATAAATCTCACAATTTGATAGACAAAGAGAGAAAGAGAGTTTTTGATATGCGCGTATTTCAATTATCCGCGTACACAATCGCCGTGATATCGAATTTGCTGCCGACCAAGATAAAGAGCAGACGCGACAATATGCGATACTGCAGAATGCAGCTGTTATGAATAATGCAATAAATTCAGTTTGATCGAATTCAGGTACATCCGCCACCTGTCCGCCCGTGTCACTCGCGCAAACTCTCGACCGCCCCCCGTGACTTCCTAAACACGAATCCTACTTCTTTCCCCGTGCACGAATTTCATTTCCAATTCAATTGCCGGTCGTTCACGAGTTCGATCGATCAAGAAAGAGGGAGAGAGAGAGAGAGAGAGAGAAAATAAGAGAGAGAAAGTGAGAGAGTTTGCTTGATATTGCAGGTGGACTTCCAAATATGCAAATACTCAACGCCTGCGATCGATCTGCACTATTTTTTTAACACGAGCCCAGCTCCGGTCGTTTACGAGAACCACAAGAGCGTTCTGCTGAACGAGTATTGTAACACCTTGGCGTCGACAATGAAGCAACTCAACTGCAAAACTCGACCGCCCACCATGGAGGAGCTGAAAACCAGTTTAAAGCGAAGAGCCGCCTATGGAATGATAGCGGCCTTCACCGTGTTGCCATTGATGCTGATCGAAAAAGACAATGTAAAAGATTTGGACGAGATAATGGGCAAAGACGGTAGTGTCGAGAATCCGGCTTATAAGAACGAGGCTTATCGCAAAGTAATAACAAAAAGAATACCTTTGTACGACGAATGGGGTTTGTTAGATCCTTAGATGTGCAACATTCTACAATAAAGATTAGTCTCGTCTTGAATGTCGACTGTAGAAAAAATTCTCGGTATTGTTCTTAGAATATACATTGACAAGACACGATGACGTCGATAGTACAAACGTGTATCGAACTTCACAATATTCTGTCCGATTATTACAATGCAATGTGTTATTATTTTGTAAGATATTAACTTTTGTAAGATAATTAACCAAATAATTACCCTGTAGATACGACAAATAATTTGCATAATTCTGACGCGTCTTCATCTTTGTATTAACGAAGTATATCGCCGATCTATAAAATCGGCTTTTTCTGTAAATAAAATGCGAGATCACGCGAAAAAAAAAAAAGAACTTAATTACTATTCTTTAATAATATAATTCAGTGGAATTTTACTCTGTTTTTCTACGCATGAGATTTGCAAGCAATTCTTTTTACGCGAAGCGAGAGAGATTACATAAAGTTTGACCTCTCTCTCTCTCTCTCTCTTCTCGTTGACTTAGATTAACATGGATTACTTCGATTATAGGTCACATTAAAAAACATAGAGGATTCTACATTTTAATATCTTGGGAGTAGTAAACCTGCGCTGTGGCTTGTTTAATTACACGTATATACATACATTGCGCTACAAAGACTTCCGTTCTTACTTCGCAATTTAAAGAGCTTCGAGTTCTTTTCCATAAACTTCGAGACTTTCGTCTCATTGATTTTCAACGTGTCGCGATATTAAATTACTTACATATAAATTTTTGATGTATTACAAAATTATAATCTCAATTTTTTACACCGAGCCAAGTTGATTACGTTGCTACATCCCTCGCGCGAATATTGTAAAAAGGCGCAGCTAGAAATATTTAAACTCAAATTGAACTTTCGCAACGTAATTCCGGCGATTTGAATAAATCTGCGCGACACAGTTTTGCGTGCACATCCGCCATTTCGCGAAAACAAATAACGCGAGACGTGAAAAACAAAGAAATGGAACGAAACACGGTATTGCGCGCATCCTGCGATGCATATCTATATTTTGCGAATTAATTGCGTTACTCTAGATGAAATATTTGGCGAAAAAAAACAAAAACAAAATAAGTGTGTAACACATAAAGCAAAAAACAATTTGGTAATATAATAATTGATCTAAACTTACCAGCGCGAAATATTATTACAATATTCTATTTGTAGCGCGAAAAGATATCTAGATAGATAATAACGTTAACAATATTACGCTTATTAGTATTTGATGCGAATTGCGCATGTAATGTTAGCAGTCCGGTTTGTAAATGCTTTAATAGGGTTTCACGAATAATTGTCGTCGATGTTAGATAAAGCAAAATAATTATCAGCCGCGTTTTGGTCCCAAGTGATTCCAATTCATGGCATGCATTAACCTCGACCACCAAATAATTAACCTTTGTTGTGGCCGAACAATAATCTCTGTTACTTATGGTATTTCATGAAATAAATAGCGAGAAAATCATTATTTTGCGTGCGTAATTGCGCGAATTACGCAGAAATTGAAACGTTTTGCTAGCTAGCGTGAACGCAGTAAATAGTTTCATCAAAATTTAACGCAGGACAAATCTAATAAATTATTATACCAGATGTGTATATCTATTTGTATGTATATTTACGAGATATGTTTATGTATATATACTCACATAAATCTCATATTTTCAATTTTCGGCAACATCGTTTATGCGCTAGAAAATTTGTTACGTAAATAATTAATTATTAATTACAATCTGGCTCCAAAATGAAATACCACGTGAGTAAACATCAATTGACGCCTGTGTAAATTTATCTCTCTCTTTTTTTAACGGATAAAATCTTTTTTTTTTTTTACAAAATCGTTTATTAAAACACATAATAAATTTAATGTGTGTATTCTTCACTTAACGCGCTAATTGAATTATTAAAGAGGAATCGTATGTTATATGCGCGCGCGTATATATATCTCTGCACGACAGAAGATTAAATCTGGGGTCTCGTTGGGGATATACACGGGGAGATAGAAGATAAACTGACGTTTCTCAAAATAGAATTCGATCATGCTGAATGTATGTACTATTATACCTAACTGGTAATTGGCGTTCGGCAAACTACATTGTCTCGTGTTTCAACACGCCAATTGGATCTGAGCACATCGACAGATGTTGATTTTGATTTCACATGGGCGCTAATAACACACCAACAAATTACTAAATTATAACGTACGCGCTATCGGACTCAATTAAAAGCCCGATTTAGCAAACATAATCTTGATACACACACGCTCGTTGAGCATCGAAATAGACGCGCTATATCATCCCAGAGCTTGTACACTTTCCGCTCATTATTCCACGTTATAGCGTTTATATGTGTAATAAAACTTTTCGAATAAATATTATATAAAACAACAATCACGAATGTTCCGCATTAAATATCTCTTAACAAGCTCGCGGAAAAGATACGATGTACGCGCGCGTACATACGTGAAGTTGCGCTCTGAATTCGTTTACATGTTACATTAACTTCCTCTTTCGAAGTCGTTTAAAATGTCATGAATTTTCGTGTTTATATTGCAGACAACACGCCGCGCGCGCCGCGTTGTCAACGGAGCGTACAAAAGCACAACAATTAAATCTCAACGAGCCATCGCGCATGCAACCGTACGCGCGCGCTCATCAAAATTGCTCAGCTGCGTGTGAAACGCGCTGCGATTCCGAGACCTCGCGCGGCCAGATGAACCGCGAAAGCTAATTAATATCCTCGGTAAGTCGCGATATATGTATTTCGCCTTTCAATTAGATTCGAACGTGTCATACACATACCCATCTCCAAGTATGCGTGTGTTGTCTATACACGTTCTCGTGTGTGTGCGCGCGCGCATACACACACACATACACAAGCGCGCACGAGAGTGTATGTACGCGTCGGCGGCGTGCACGTGACACGGAACAAATGGTGATATTAATTACCGCGATTTGCCATCTCCGATACTGAAATCGACCTCTATTAATCTGATCAAGCTTACACCTTTCGTTCGCCTTGCTTCCTTTGTGAGATAAACTCACTCTCTCTCTTGTTTCAACTCTGTTAATTATTTATGTTTCTTTGTTTATTTAAAAAATCTTTGTAATCCATTCTCGCGCGTGTTTTCTACAAAAACGACGAATTTTGTTCCGCAATTCTTACGACGGTTTGTTGCGAAAACTCACCGGTCTCTGCTCAACGGCAAACATTTATCCAATTACTTAAAACGAGTCTGAAAACGAAAAAACGAAAGAACCAAGCACGGTTTAGAAAACTGAAACGAAATAACCAGCTGACTAGCTCTGTTGCGTGAGAAAATAAAATTTTCGACCGCTTATTTTTCGTTCTGTGTTTCGCTCTGCAGGCAGAGTCAATGTACCAGTGGCGTGACTCGCCCGAATTTCTCTGGTATTGTCTATTCGCATGTACCGCGGATCATTTGTTACACGGAGCGCGGCGCAAAACGATACAACCCGGCCTGTGCGCCGGGAAACATGTTTTCGTCGAATATTGCCGCCGGCATTTCACACAATTCCACTTTTGTAATTTACGATACTCATATTGTTGAAAGACGACGCAAGAGGTTTAATTGTAACCGCGCGTAACAATCTATTGTTGTGCGAACCTGCGCACGCAACGCCAATAATTTTGTGAAAAACTATTTAAATAATAAGTTACTTTTGATGAAAAAAAAAAAAAAAAAAAAAAAAAAA